GACCAGTGCGCGCGACATGCGCACAGGTCTCACCCCATCTTTCGTGGACGTCAGTGTCTTCCGCGGGATACATGCGCACAGGTCTCACCCTTTCTTCCGTGGACGTCAGTGTCTTCCGCGGGACAACCAATGGATGGAGTTTCCTCCGACAGGCGTTAGACAGAGCTGGCAGAGCTTGGGGTTCGTCTTCAGAACGGTGCGCGAGGTCTTGCAAGTGGTGGAGTCCTCGTGTATCTGCTGATCGCAGGCCTCTAATTTCCCTTTGCCGTCCCTCTTCTCCACGACCCTGAGGAGCCCCTCGCAGCCCGATGCAGGGCACGCCCAAGCGAGGTTGCCCTTTTCGTTGGCGCACTTAGGTGCGGGGGACGCGGCTGCAGCAGCCCCCGCGGGATGTTTGCGCTCCGCAGGAGATGAGTGCAGAAATGGTGAAGAATTTGTCCGCCCCTCCGTTATAGACTACTATTTTTTCAGGACGAAGGGTTCCGAAAACGACCCAGTCGCAGGCGATGCCACTGCAATTTCAGTGGTGCCGGTTCGCGAAACGAAGTATGCCTCTTTAATAAGCGAGCCAGATGACCGATATGGACCACATGCACACGTGGGCGCTGTGGCGTCCACCCACCCATCCTGCCCCGTTTCTCACTCAGAACTGTCAGAGAAGGGGTACGTGGGGATCATGGCATGTTTTCCTGTCCAATTAGTCGCAAGGTTGGGTGTTTGCCGGTAGAAAAGTGATCAGCTCTGGTCACAGCTACCGGTTTCCAAATTTTCAACAACGCCTGCTGGTGGCCTGGTGCCCTTCTGCTGCATCGCAATCGCCGACGCAGCCATGAAAAATGAACGTGGCGCGCTCGTAAAGTTTTAGTTTTTTTACACACCCCAGATGCACAAGGTATCGCCAGGGATGCTCATGGCGGCGATTTATTAGTCAGGCGCTCACCAAATATCATGATTCTATCATGGTTTGTTCCGAAGGGTACCCAAGAATCCTTCCATCACAGAAAACATTAGCGGAGAAGACGATTACCCCTTTGTTTGACCCGACCGCAGATGACACCCATGTCGATCTCACACTTGATAATGAACGTCTGGCAGTGAAACCTTCAGGGTTCTAAAGCCACTGCTTTCAGGGGGTGGCAAGTGCGTTGGTTTCGACTTGCTTCAAAGCAAGCTTACAGCAGCTTGAGCCTCTCGCAACATATCATGTGTCGTTCCTTGCAATACACACAATGGCCATTTCCCCCGCAACTTCAACGCGAAAAGATACTTTTCCGGCATGCGATGTGCACCTCGCGAGCGACTTCTCCTAGCTCTTAATGAAAGTATTGTATGTCGAAACCAACTCATTTGCCATTCGATGAAAGCAGAGCCTTTTAGAGGACATCCCTGAAGGTTTTGGCGTCAGAGGTTCATTGTCAAGTGTAGGATCGACATGGGTGTCATCTGCTGTCGGGTCCAACAAGAGTAGACGCCGTTCTCACTGTTTTTTACTGTGTTGGAAGGGTTCTTGGGATACCCTTCGGAAACCCCATGATAGAAGCATGGTGTTTTGGTGAGCGTCTGACTCATTTTTCGTTGCCATAATCGCCTGTGGCTACACCTTGTGCATCTGGGGTGCAAGAACCCTTTACGAGTGCGCCACATTCGTTTTTCATGGCGAAGTCGGTGATTGCGATGGCGAAGAGGGTGTTGCGGAGGGGCCGCCAGGTCGCAAAGGGGACTTTGGTCAAAAAGATCACTTGGACTCTTCGAAAATTGGTGTCTTGTTGCTTTCAACCGAGCTGACGAGTTTTCTGCCGGCAACCAGCCAATCTTGAGACAAATTGGGCAGGAAAACAGGGGATGACCCACCCGTGCCTCTTCTCTAACAGTTGTGAGGGGTGGGAGGAGACAGCATTCCACACCATCGCGGGTAGTGTGCAGCTGATCGGGCCCGTGTGTGGTGTCTGGTTCGTACATAAAAGAGGCAGAATTCGTTTCGCGAAACGGCACTACTGAAGTTGCAGTGGCATCGCCTGCGACTGGGTCGTTCTCGAAACCTTTCGGTCCGATTGCGTGTGATAGGCGTTTCTGGCTGGGGCTGCAGGGGGTGGTACGAAGTACGGTGCACAGAGGTCAAATAACGTACACATCGCGCGTATACGGCAAAAGTGGTACAACTATTCGTCGGTAAAAGTAAGACGAAAACGAAAAGTTCGAGTTGATGGATGAACCCTACGGTCCAATTTTATTTTTCGAACTGAATATATTTCAAGAGAGTACACCAAATCTGGGGCATATTTCCTCTCGTGGACATTCCATGCTCTATTTGTACGCATGTATGTACGGCGATGTTTCATGCGGTGATTTTTTCTATTCTCTTGGTGTCGTTCTTGTTATCCGGACCCCCGCTGTAGACGGTCACACATGATACAGCGGTAGCGGTTAGGTACAAGGAAGGCATCACAACGTACATAGCGCGTAATAGCAGACGGGGAAACTGGTTGTTGGTGAATGAACTGTTCCTTCCGATTTTTGTTTTGGGGTTGAATCTTTATTGCTGAATCTTCATACAAGTAGCTTACACAAAATGGATATTTTCTCTCATGAGTTTGTGTGAAGGTTGTGATCTTCTTTGTTATGCGGACTCCGGCCGACGGCGGTCAGACGTAAAACAGCATCACGTAGATACGTCGGAAATAGATTAACAAAACAGCATCACCGTAGGCCGCCGGGTGTGGTGTACGGCACATAAAAGCGAAGCACAAAGTATTTGTGCGGTTGCGACACTATGGTTGGAAGTCTTGAGTCCATTTCCGCCAGATTAGGTCGTCAGCGGGTTTCGAAAATCGCGAAGACGCCGTTCTCCGAAGAAAACGCGAATCAAATTTCTGTTTCTTTGAGAACGAAGAGGTTCTCCGTAGAATCCCGGGATGAGATGAAGTGCAACCCAGCAGGTCGAGATTTGGTCGAACTTGGTGGAGCCGAAACACCGCAGGCGTGCGACCATCGAGCCCCCGCTGCAGGGAGGTCGTGATGGAAAGACTCTTCCGGTCGGCACCGCGAAGAGGAGAAGTCGATCGGCGTCCTCGCACGGGCCAGCGGACGTGCCGACGCTAACGTCTTGAGTTGAGGCGGGGCACTCTAACTTCCCGCTTCGCTCGCAGCGCTCGGGACTGTTAGGCGAGGCACTCTAACTCATAGGTTGGAAGATCCGCTTGAGCTTACTGAATATTGCTCTGTGTTTTCCTCTTCCACGAATAGAGCAATTCATCTCTATCCACAGATACTGTTTTTTCTTCTTTTGGACGGTCGCGCGCGGGCCCTCATTTCGGGAAAATTGCGAGACGGTTCATGCACGTGAATATTTTTTCACATCTCTACCCTCGGATCACGGTGTAAGACGAGTAGGGTCTGAGGTGAATCCAGTGCATCTAACTTCCGTCAGAATTTTCTACGAATCCTCCCGCGGTTCGTTTTCGCTTGCAGGTCCTGGGCGGCGAAAAAGTGCAGGAAGTAGCCCAGAAGCTCATGGACCACCACGCAAAGATGACCAACATCTTCAAGGAGATGTACGGGGACGTCAGGTCAGTGTCCCCCCGACTCTCCACGTTGTTGTTGCCCTCGAGTCCGGCTTGTGTGCTTACACGTGTCCTACGTAATGTTTCTCGGCACGGATGTGTCCAGAGCAATTGGATGTAGACCCTTTCCCGTAATGTTTGTGTTCTTTATACTCTTGTTTTTGGTCAAGCATGTGATTTTCTTTTTGGCAAACAATATGCTCGGAACGTGCTGTTTCTTCTGTTTTTATGCTAGGCTTCAGCTAGCTTCGGCGTGGTTTCTATGCCTTTTACGCCAGAGTCTAACGGGCAAGGACCTATTCGGATTGCTTCAAAAACGATCCGGGGTTCCCAAAACAAGAAAGGCCTCCGTCGTGTTATTTCTACGGTAGATGTGTGTGTGTGTGTTTTTTTTCCTTTGTGCGGGCAGAGTGGTGGGAACGCGTGGCCACGTTGAAACGTCGAAGAACGTCGGAATCACAACGTTAGACGCAGTGAGCAGTATCCCGAGAAAGAGGGTGCGCTCGAGAGTGGAATGGGGTAGATCGGTGCACTTACGGTGAATATGGCAGAATGAAACAGCGGCGGAAAACGCTCGCAGCAGCAAGGACGGGATCAAGTCATCGTGGGCGTCACCCGCCTTGAAGTACAAGTAGAGGATAATAGCTATCATACGAAGCAGAACTATGACACAAGCACGAAGAGCCCCCGACTGCAACGTCGAAGATGAGCAGGAACTACGCTTCGTTTCGAAAAGGAGTTCCGCGTGTGGTTGAGGACCCCCCCCCCCCCCCCATCCGACAGATACGGCCTCACGGACGTGCCCAAGGACTCCTGTTTCCTTCGATCCAGACCCTACCTCGACCTTGTCGAGAGAACCATGTCGCAGCTGGTTGAGTGGGGCAGCGTCCGCCCCAGCCCTGCCGTTGCCGTGGCCGGGGCGGCGGCGGGCGGGGGTCAAGCGGCGGCGGCGGCGGCAACGCGTGCCCCTTCCTCGGGGTTCGGGGGGGCAGCCGCGGCTTCCCCAAAGAAGGGCGGGGGGGCGAAGAAGAAGAAGCCGAAAAAGAAATAAAGAAGTCGCGACTCTTGCTGTAGAATCCGCACCATGTTCCTGGCATGGTTGCCGTCTCGCTTCTTCAAGGCCTTTCTTGTTTTGTTTTTTTTCTCTCTGCCTGATTGTCTGTGTCTGCTGTATAGAGAGTGGGTCGAGGGATCGATCTCAATTTTTTTTATTGACAGTGGTATGCAGCAGGTGGTGTATGGCCGATGATGGAAGAGGTTGGACGTTGAAAAGGTGCAGCCCATTGGATTCGGTGAAGCCTTTCCAAGAAGACCCAGGTTCCGTGATCGGGGTTGCTCTTGGGTGGTTGTTGGCAGCAGGGCATGCTGTGTTGATTTCTCTGCGAAATGTAGCACCATTGCTTGAAAAGGCCCCGGTATGCAGCAGTTCGTTGGCGCCCACACGTAGGACTTGCCAGGTGAGGAATTGAGCCTAAAAAAGACAAAATCTAAGAACTTGAGCACCATTCGTGAGCTGTTAGAACCCTTACACGAACGGCCATTCGTAGCATAGACCCTTAGGACTAAGAACCCCAGCCTCGCCCAAAGTACACAGTTTCTGTGCTGACGCTAACTGTAGAGCATCGTTCGCGGTGCTCCAGTCGGGAAAAAAAAATCCCCCACCAAGTAAAAGCTGTGCAACATGCATGCATGTAGGGCCTATCAGACTCCCGACGAACCTGCCTCGACATACTGCTACTGCAGCACACCCCTTGGCAATCTCGTGTACCTCCCATCGACCATGCCAGCTACACTGATTGTATGCATATAGCCTAGGTCTATCTTGGCGTGTCCCTTGCATTCTGAGAGCATTGAATCAGGGCGGTATCAGTAGGGCATGGCAGCGCGAGTACCTTGCGAACCCCGAGCTCCTCATCACATCCAACTATTTAGTAGGACGCCGTGTTGCGTCCCCGATGGAATCGGCACTCTACGGTCTACTACAGCTGTAGATGTGTGTGTTGCCATCTATTTACTGCTGTAGAGAGACTGCTGTAAATGCTGCTGCAGGTTACATTTGTATGTGACCGTATAGTACAAAATTCACGATCGTTACGTTGTTCGTGTCACGCGATAGAGGCTGGTGAACCCCAGATCGGCCTGGCCGCAACGTGTTTGAAGCTTGGGCAAGGGATGGCCTGCACAATTACACATGCAATGGAGGATGGGTGGTGACGTGGGCGGAAATAAATAATGCGGGTTTTCACTTCAGATATCTTGCCTGTTGCGCCGTTTCGCCTTTTGGGTACTGTAGCCCCGCCAGGGGGGGTGGGTGGGGGGGGGCTCAGCAGAAAAACGACGGGTTGAGGGTTCGTTGATGCGTTCACATACACAACTTGCTTTGTGTTGAACCAGATCGGCTCAGAGTATTAGCATCACGAGGTGAGAGAAGCGGCGTATGGTTGGTTCCTTGGTTGTTCACTGCGGGCGCCGTCGCCGTTCTGCCGGCAAACCACACGCCCTAGCGGTGTGGCGGTTACAACCAGATATTTCAGGATCCAATTCCGCCGAAACATGAAATTTAGACTACTACGGTAGACCGGATTGGTAGGCGCCACGTTTGTGGCCCTCACCACGAGAAGCGGGAGGATGCACGCGTGCCATGGTACCGCTGTATTGCTCAGTCCAGGTTGCCTGTACTCGACACTTTGTCGTCCCGTCAAGAGCACACTGTATCTCCCCCGTGGTAGACCTCAGTTGTTGCGCGGTTGTTTGGTTAGACATGTCTATGTATGTGCAGCGTCACTACGAAATCAAGGCAAAGAGAGGGTACCGCCGCGCGCACACACGCAAGCGTCAAATCGGCGAAAGGCTCGAGTGCACATGAGTTGACCTTAGTGACAGGTCCCACCACATGCTGTTGGTGGAGCTGGTATGGTCCCTGGGTTGTCTCGCGGCATCTCGATATGTGCTTGAGTCGCTCCCGAAGCGAGGTGAAAAATGGTGTCCCTTCGCAGCCCGTGTGCCTCCTCGCGCCATTACCAGGTGTAGATGTTTCCGCTTGCCACGTATCCACTCTGCACTCGAGCACTATTTTGCTACGTATTAGGTACGGCGTTTTTATCAACAACCGAAGCCGCGGCGTGCAGAGTGTGTACTGCGGGATTGATATAGACTCTATCCCGGTGCAGAAGTGTGTAGATACTGTTGTGTATAGTAGCCCTCCCCACCAAGAAATGGGGTATTTCGGCGAGAGCGAACACTACACACAATAAGAGAGAGAACCATGAGGAACGCATTTGGGCGCTCGCTTTTGGGGGGTGGTTGGGCCGTGTTTGTCGCCCGGCAGACGAAGACGCCCCGCCAGTTGTACGTGTTGGAATATTAGGGAAGTTGAGATACACGACGAGAGCATACCGCAGTGTGTCTTGAACCGATGGTTGCCAAGAGGCCAAGTTGTTCGAGCCACGCATACACACACACATCTGGCCGGTACAACGATCGTGGTCGACTAGAAGCGAACTCACGCACATTGTTTCCAGTGCGTGCCCCTGAGGGTAGGAAACTCGTGAAGCGTGTTCTATTGCTTTACTCCAGCTTGCTGTAACGCAACACCTCACTATTCTCCACGTTTGCCACGCTTGCGGCGGCTCAGATCTGAACTTTGCTGCTATGGCACCGTCGACGATGGGATTTGTTTGATAGAGAATCGAGGAAGCGGTTCGAGATGCAACACCTTACGATAGGTGTAGTCATGGTCGGGATGATGCCAACAACGTTATTAGCGTTCAAACAGCCCGATCGACTTCATCCGAACAACAACCGCAGCAAGAGTAGGTGTTCCACCTACACCCACAGTACCTCCGAATGCACAAGAAACCCAAGAAAGGGAGGGTCCCTCTTTGATATTCGATACTAACTTTGTGCACATCTCCGGACATCAGAGTGATATTGGAAACGCACTTGCCGCAATGGCCAACTCTCACTACACCCTTGCACCCCATGGCATGTCGTTTTTTTTCATCATCCCAGGTGTGAGACGTTACTTTGACAAGGATGATGGGTTGGGCGACAAGAGCGTGTTTTTTCCTGGTGTGTTTCGCTTCTCAGCGACCATCGCTGGGCTACGTACTCTTCCCAGCCAAGGCGATTGAGGCTAACCAAGAGACCATTCCTTCTCCGACGAAGGAACCTTCCAAGGCAAGAGCGTGCAGGCGTGCCGTCTTGGATGTGATGTTGGAGTCGAAGTAAATATCCAGGTAGCTTGGGTTGTGCATTGTCTGACGATAGCGGCCGAGTGGGGACGCTTTCAATCGCGTATGTATAGGCATGCATACCCAGAGCCACCTTGACCAGCTTGAGTCTGTTAAAACAGTTCGGGCAGAGTGAGTGGGACGGATGTGGACAGAGCAGTGGGACACGCCCCCCCTGAGAACGTTGCCCCCTGGGACATTTTCGAGTTAATGCCGACAACGCCCCCTCTGTTGTAAAGGTGGCTCCGGGGCCTATTAATCCTTTCCGATTGACGAGCTCTCCCCCGCTCAGGCCAATTCAACAGGCAGACAACGGCTTGACCGAAACATCGGCAGTTCAAACGGCGCCCTCTGCCCACCAACACCTAATTCCTAAATCATGTCAGCCCCGCTAAAAGCTGCCGACCAGCCCCAAGCCTCGACTCTGAGCTTTCGACCCGGGTTACTGCTGCTCAAATTGTTGTGCGATTGAACTCCCTACGCGCCATGTTGACCGCCTCTGCCGCCGCCGTGCGAACATTTCTCAGGCTCTTACGAAGTTGGCGGGGTTTGGCCTCCCGGCGGCTGCCGCGGTTGTGTCATTGCTTGCTGCTCCGGTAGCTCTGGCTGGGGCACCCCCTGTGGCAATCGCGTCGCTGGTGGCCAGCAACGTAGCTGCAGTGGGACTTCCATTCGTCCTTCCCCGCGAAGATGAGAAAGAGACCACTGCTGTCGTCCAGGTATCTTGGGGGAAGCGGGGTTTCGCCAGAGGTAGGCGTTCTCAAAAGAGATTTTTCTCAGTTCAAGAATCATGGGATCATGTGGATGGGGAGGGGTGGACTTGCCGTTTAGAAAAGTCTCAAGTGAAACAACGTTTTGATTCAGGGCCTGATCGGTCCGTGAGAATCGAGGGCATGCGGTGAAGTGCAAAGTTGTCTAGCAATGTGGTCACCAACATCTGCTCTGCCAAACCCTATGTACATCATCCCAGTACCGAAGCCTGAGGCACTATGTGCAGCGGAGGTGAGCATATTGATGTCCTCTCTACATCATACGTTTCTAATGAAGAGATTGTTTTCGGTGTATGTGAAGTAGTCAAGATCCAGCCGCAGAGTCAAGGAAGGGGATTATCACGGCCAATCCATTGCGCTCAATCCGAAGCGTCAACACCGTCAGTTCCGACCACAACTTCCGACGTCAGAGTCCCAAGTAGAAGATCGGAGAGCTGAATCACCAGGCGATTGTGTGGCTATCAACCAAGCGCTCGGTGGTGATACTGAAACGCCGCCGTCGCACCCCTCGACCTAAATTCCGTTTTGACCCTGTCTTTTGTTCGGCTGGCTGACGCCCCTGCTCGTTCCGCTTGGTTATTTGTTGCTGGGTGAAGTGGAATACGTCAAGTCACAACCGGACATCGAATCCCTGAATTCCATGAAGTGCTTTCCCATCACAAAGCAAGTACTATGTTAAGAAACCACGTTTCCTGAGTATCACAGGCGTGTCACGTAAGCAACGGCATTGATTGTCCATAATCTGTTGCCCTCGTCGTGTAACCCAGTCTTGTCGTGAGGCCTCTTGACAATATCCTTGCTCGCTTCCGTTAATGTGTACTTCATTTACCTCCTATTGCTGTAACAGCCGGCAGACGATAATTCTGTGTGGGCGAGCGCCGGTGTTTTCGGGTGGGTGCGGCTGTTATGCACCATCTCGGCTGTACTTTCGGTGGTCGCGAGCATTTGCCTGAGAGTACTTCGCCTCGCCCAGGGCGTCGCTCTGACGAGCAGAGGTGTCACCGGAGGCGAACGAAATGACAGCGCATCCGGAGGCGAGTATCGGTTTCGGGCTGAAACCTCAAGACCTCAATATTCTTGTCAATTTCTCAGCGGATTGAGAGCAAAAACGGAGGCAGAAATTGACTCGGGGGGATGTTAAACAGAAAAGATAAACCAGACCCTAGCATATGACTTAAAGTATTGACTGAGCGGCTCCCTTATCAGTTGGAAGCCAGTGCAATTGCTCTAGTGACGTCTCCTAACCTTCCCTTACTTTGGCATCTGCCAACGCCCCCTCGGGCAATCAACAGCAGCAGAGCAGCAAAACGATCAACAGCAATATTCCCGCTGAAAGTACCGTCCCGCGATAATGGCTACAATTTTCTTTTTGAAGATGTTCCTCCTGATCGCCGATTCCGGTGTCAGGCAAGAACATGCCGTGCCGAACTATGAAAGCAAACACAGGGGTTAGGGCTACATTTGATCATCTCCTGCAGAAAAAATACCATATACCAGGTATAGGTCAATCGCGCAGCACGAGTCCAACATTTGACGAAAGGTGTACAACGGCAATGCCAACCTGCAAACAATTCTCAATGAATACGACGATGGCGACATTGGTCAGCTGTTGCACCCCCTCCCGATGGCGAAAAGTATCTTCCATTCCACGACACTCAAGACGGTGCAACAACCAATTTTCTTTTTTTGCAGGAGGTGAAAAACGACGCATGGGCCGCGTGCGGTCGACCTCCATGACGGCATCCGCCAGGCTCGGCTTCGAACTCAACGGCGACATGATTGCATTCCAGCCAAACGCGGTCCGCAGGAGGACAATCTCTGCCGGTGACAAGAATGAGCGTGTTGTTGTTGTTGCTACTGTTTTGGTTCAGAGAGTTGTTGTTGCTGTCGTTGCTGCTGTTGTTGTGGTTGTCGTTGCTGTTGCTGTTTTCGCTGGGCTTGGTGCTCAGATGCGTTGTTAGATGCTGTTGGTCCTCGTCCACCATCGTGGGGTTTCGGAACGGTGGCGAGGGGTAGTTGTTGCCGTTACTTGTGGTAGCTCATGGTAGTGACTATTCGGAAGCTCTTCGACACTGGCCTTCTCGTTTTAGGTTGTTCTCGAAGCACATGCTATCATTGGTGGCTCACCATTGCCGGCGATGCCGTCGCTTCAATATCGCACCTCTTGCATACAGTATTCGGAGACAACTAGTGTCACGTTGGGCTAGTGCCTGCTGACCGCAATCTCGACCGATGGATGCCATTGTTCCCGCCTCTGTCACCATCAAATGCCTTGTGGTAGGTTAGAGTGTCTTGTGCCCATGAAAGCACGTGTGTTGGAACACCATGGCAGGCTACACGGGGCAACTGTCCTCACTCGCCCCGCAAACCGTATGCCTTGGTTGCCGGCACCATCAGGTCAGATGAATCCCGGCAAGGGAGGGCCCGACGTGGGGGAAGCCTTGAGGAGCCTGCTGGCCGACGCAACGATATCTACAAAGAAACACGATGTGAGTGCCTGACTATGTCTCATGGTCACCCCAGAAACAGGAAACTACGAGGTCGCCACGGTGCACGATTTGTTTCGCGGGTTCGATGACGCCGTTGATTCACTCGTCGATTGCGACGGTCGAAATCGGACATGGTGCTTTGTCACGGGCATGTCGATGGAAGGGATCGGGGACGACAGGTCGTGTTGGAGCTGATTCGAGAATCGAGCAGGAATTACCTACACAAGGCGTTTGATCGGGCGGAGACAGGGTGATAGGGTGGCGCATACCCCTGCGGTTGACGAGAATCTCTTGTTTCAACGGGAATTCCGCCTTTACCGCGGGAAACGTTAAACCTACAGCCACAATGGGCATGACCTTACGCGCGGCTACGTTTCTCCGTCGAACGAGACTGAATCGAACGGGACTGCTCCCAACGTTCACGTCGCTCGCCATCCAGATCGAACTAATCGTGGCGGCCCATTCAAGCGAACGCTATATATGACAACAAACCTTGATGATGTTTTTATGTTTGTAAATGGTGGATTCCATGACGCGTACACTATCTGACATGGAGCGCATCTCATGAAGCGCATCTCATGAAGCGCAAACCATCCCCCTGTCCCTCATGGCGATTTCTATTCCAAGAGTTGACCTGCCTCGGTTGTGCTTGCAGTGTACATTGATTGAGACAGCTCCAACTTACGATGAATGCTGATTGTGGTACACCGTGGGGAGGGATACTGTAATGCTTCGTATGAAACAAGCACATGCTGTGCCGTTCCTTCTTTGAAACAGAGCAGGAAGTTGATTCAAGGCGGTGCATGTTTTGACCCTGTTGACAAGCCTAGTCAAAACATTGACCAGAGAGTGTCGCCGTTTCTAAGACGTCTTCTCTCAAGGAAACGTGCCGGTGACTTCCGCTATTTCACGCCAGTCCACACTGCAGGTGAAACGTTCGAGCACCACGGTGTCCTGCTCCAATCGGTTGGGTGTGAGGCCGCAAGCCGGAGACGAGCAAGACCTGGGTGCGTGGCTCAGTGACGGCGTCTCGGTTTCTGCTCCCGCTCCCGCTGTACGTTCGACGTCGCCGGGCTTTTCACCAAGGCACTCGAGCGGGGGACGAAGGGCGTCGGCAGCCGGCCCCACGCACGCAGGAGCGAAGCCGGGACGGAATGAAGCCCAGAGCAAGGTACGGCAACCGCCTGCCCGGATCCAGGAGGGTCGAGGGCCGGCCGGTGCGGGAGTCGTTGGAGCTTCTATGGCTGCGGCATCCAGCGCACAGGCGAGTCAAGTGGGGGCGGGGCCGGCCGTGGCATCCACGCACCAGGTATGTGCATGTAGTCAGCCACTTTTGTCTACAGCCAATGATACGAGAAGATCGAAACGAGGGCCCGTCCTACGCATAACTTGTACATGAATCGATCGCTAGCGGATTCTCTCTGTCCTGCCTCTGTCATTGAAACTATCTCCAATTTCATCACCAAGTTAATTTCTCATTTTCATTTACAGGCAGCAACAGCAACAACAACAGCAACGACGGGTGGACTAAGCCCGTCGCGGAATATCGCCCCCCCGGCGTCGACCACCCTACCGACCATCGGGCTCGTGTCAGGAGTGGCGTGTGGGGGCTATGGCCGTGGTGAGAGCAACGTGGTTGGCTGCGACGACTCCAAGGGTGCATCGGTCGCCAAGGTGGGAGCTGCGGCGGCTAGCACGTGGAGCAAGGAGGATAGGGTCGGGTTACCGCAAGAGCGCGGAGTCTTGCAGTAAACTCGGCCTCATCATCCTTGCTTCCCATTCTAGCCGCCGCAGGTCCCGCCCTGGCGACCGATGCACCCTTGGAGTCGTCGCAGCCAAGCACCTTATTCTCAACGCGGCCATCACCCCCACCCACCGCTCCTGACACGCGCCCGATGGTCGGTAGGGTGGTCAACGCCGGGGGGGTGACGTTCCGCGACGGACTTAGCCCACCCGCCGTTAATGTTGCTCTAACCGTACACGAGGAGGTTGTGCTTGCAATCGGTTTTTGATGCGTCCGTGCGAGTATCGACAACGCTCCCCCAGGTCTTACCCTTTGAGTCCCTCTTCTTCCTGTGCTCCGCTACATAGCTCGAATCCGAAGAGGTATTTCCCACCCTGCTCCATTGTTGGTCTTGCAGCGTGATGATTCGAGTGTGGGTGGTGTGCGGTAGGGGGGAGCGCCTGCAGTAACAGCGGGGGATTCCTCGGTGGAGGGATGGGGCTCCCCGTTGCCGTTCTTGCAGGCGCTTCACCCATCCGCACACCACCTCCACTATTACCATCATGCCGCGAGACGTAAAATGGAGCAGGTTGGGGCAACGTGCGTGAAGAGTACAAGCTCCAGTATGTAGTTTGAAACACGGGAATAAGATGCTTGTGGACAAAAAGGTAAGTGTAGCCCAAGACATAGTGCGTCCCGTTGTACTGTTTGCGGCACGGCTGCCAGTTCCTCATTTTGTTCATGCCTTCTTCAAGTTTCCGAACCCGCTCCACTTGTCGGTCTTGCAGGGTGGCGAAGGTGGGGTGCTGATGGGGGGAGCGCCTGCAGCAAGCGCAACGGGGGATTCCTCGAAAGTGGAGTGGCGCAGTTCAGCACGGGGAGGTTGTTACCTCGACAGTGAACACGACGGTGACGGTCCCGCGAGCGCGCGACCGGCCAACCTGGAGAGAAACATGAAGGTGTGCGGTTGCAGGCTCGGTTGGGGGAGAGACAGGGGTGGTGGGAATGGAGGATGGTGTGTGCCGGTTTTCCTTCGGAGCGTTTGGCTTGGAACGTTCTGATCGAGAGCC